ACAGGAACAGACCATCACTATGGATCCAACCTGATATTTCCAATAATTTGACAGTGATTCACTAGCTCAGAGGAAGCTGATTCAGCATAAACACTTATTTCTCCTCACATTCTGGAACAACACTGCACCTCATGCAATCACCCAGGAGACAAGGGTTGGTTTAAATACATCCGTACTACATTGTCGAACTTAATGAGGAAGATGCAGTGTAGCATTCAACCATTTATCAATTGGAACCACATAAAAGTGAAAGCCTAATTGCTAGTTATAAAAGTGAACGAGTGCTTGCTTTTAAGTATAATTAATTAGAGAACTGTAGACAAGAAAATGGATGGTGGTGTTGCAAGCAGGTAGGATTAATTTTGTAGTGCAAAGGTCCCTTTTTCCATCCTTACATAGCTGCAAGTTGTTTGAAGGGATAAAATAAAGTAATCCTGACCTTTATTTCCTCCTTTTGCATGATTAATTATTTAATATCCCATTAATTGAAAAATGAACTTGAATTTCAGAAGCGTTCATTTTGTTCAGCATATCAGTCTGTCGAGAAAGTACCGATTGTGCTGTTTATCAAAGGTGAACAGACAAGGTCATCTAGGCTGCACCTCTTCAGTTATTCATTATCTTGTCCACAGTAGTAATTAACAATGAAAACATTTCCATAAATCAGAATCTTAGTAGTATTCAAACTGAAGAACAATCAGAAAGTCCCTCTTTTTCTCTTCCTACCCTTCCCCACTGCCCTAAACATAAAGTATTTTTGTAATCAAGCATATTGTATATATACAATAATCCAAATGTATGGCTGTTTATTTCTTTATTTTCATTGTTACATCAATAATATTCCCTATCATGCTACTGTTACACTTTGAAGGTAGCTATTACAGTACTATTATGGTACTGCAAAATCTGGATTGAAAAATGAAAAGGTGATTTGGACTAGGAAATTTTGTTATAATGCAGTCTGATTCTACAACTGTTGACATTCATTTTTTCTCATTAATCTACACTCAGTACCCCATAATGACAAAGTGAAAACAGAATTTTAGAAATGTCGGTAAGTTTATTAAAAATAAAAAAACTGAAATATCACATTAGCATAAGCATTCAGACCCTCCATTCAGTACTTTGTTGAAGCACCTTTGGCAGCAATTACAGCCTCGAGTCTTTTGGGGTATGACGTGACAAGGTTTGCACACCTGGATTGGGGGCTTTTCTGCCATTCTTCCTTGCAAATCCTCTCAAGCTCAGTCAGGTTGGATGTGACTGTCGGTGGACAGCCATTTTCAGGTTCCTCCAGAGATGTTCTATACTAGGGTGCAAGTCAGGGCTCTGGCCAAGCCACTCTAGGACATCCCCAGAGTTGTCTCTAAGCCACTCCTGTGTTGTCTTGGCTGTGTACTTAGGATCACTGTTATGGTGGAAAGTAAACCTTCAGCCCAGTCTGAGGATCTGAGTGCTGGGGAATATGTTTTCATTGAGGATATCCTGCTCTATTTTGCTTTCTTTCAACCCTGACCAGTCTCCCAGTCCCTGCTGCTGAAAAACACTTCCACAGCATGATGCTACCACCACCATGCTTCATTGTTGGGATGATATTGGGTAGGTGATGAGCAGTGCCTGGTTTCCTCCAGACATGTAACATTTAGAATTGAGGCCAAGCAATTCAATCTTGGTTTCATCAGACCAGAGAAACTGGTTCCTCAGAGTCTGAGAATCTTTCAGGTGTTTTTTTGCAAATTCCAAGCTGGTTTTGTGTGTTTTACACTGAGGAGAGGTTTCTGTCTAGCTACTTTGTCATAAAGCCCAGGGAGGATGGCTGCAGTGATGGTTGTCATTCTGGAACTCTGTCCCATCTCCACACAGGATCTCTGGAGCTCAATCAGAGTGACTATCAGGTTCTTGGTCACCTTTCTTACTAAGGCCCTTCTCCCCCAATTGCTCAGTTTGATGGGTGACCAGCTCTTGGAAGAGTCTTGGTTGTGCCAAACCTCTTCCATTTGAGAATTATGGAGGCCACTGTGCTTTTAAGAATCTTCAGTGTAGCAGAAATTTTATTGTAGCATTCCCAGATCTGTGCCTTGCAATAATCCTGCCTCTGAACTCTGCAGGCAGTTCCTTTGACCTCATGGCTTTTGCTCTGCTACACTATGAATTGTCAGCTGTGAGGTCTCCTCTAGAGAGGTATGTGACTTTCCAAATCACGTCCAATCAATTTAATTTACCACATGTCAATTCCAATCAAGGTGTAGAAACATGTCAGCAATAATCAAGAGAACTGGGTGGCACCAGAGCTAAATTTCAAATGTTGTTGCAAAGGATCTGAATACTTATGCCAATGTGATATTTCAGGTTTTTTATTTTTAATAAATTTACAGACATTTCTAAAATTCTGTTTTCACTTTGTCATTATGGGGTACTGAGTGTAGATTAATGAGAAAAAAAATGAACAACTATAGAATCAGGCTGCAACATAACAAAATTGACAAAAGTGAAGGGGGTCTGAATACTTTCTGAATGCACTATAACATCTATCTGCAACTGCCAAATCAAGCATGCCTTTTCCTATCTATCCAGGTAGAAAAGTGCAGAGATACTTTTCAAAACTTGTTAGAACAATTAATCAATGGAACATCCCTTTCCCCCCTCCCCTCCCAGTCCATAGAAGATAATTTTTCTTCTGAAATCAGCATGGCTGGGCTCAGGAATTCTGGGAATTGAAGTCCACGAGTCATAAAAGAGCCAAGGTTGCCTACCCCTGGCCTAGCGTCAGAAAGGCTGGGGACTGCTGTCCTTAAGAATCAATGGGAACACAACTTTGCTTTCACTCTTTGAAAAATCTGTCTCGAATCTGTTATCAGGAAGAATAGATACAAGGCTTTCCATTTTATGCAAACTCTCTGAATTGCTCAGGCAAAAAGATTAGAAGACAAAAGAGAACACCTAATCTCTTTCAAATTCCCTTTCAATTAGCTCATATTCCCTATAAGGTTATCTCAACTGTTCTGCATTACATAAAAAAAATTGGTGATTTTTTTTTCTCGGGATGTGCCACATCATTTAACAAGATCATGATGGATTTAATGTGTTTTGGGTATTTGGCAGCCTAGATGCCAAATACAAATCAAGAAAAGTAACAGTATTGTTCTTTGCAGTTACACTTTTTGGAGCAACATGCTATGATTCTTAAATGCAAGTGAATGTAGTACATTTCAACAAGACTGAATAACATGTACAGAATGCGCACAAATGCCAAGGCTTGTCAGTGCTGCCCCATTTCACAGAATCTTTCACACTGAAGCTCAGCACCAACAGGGCACAAGAGCAAGCAAACAGTGCAGAAACCACACACAAACTTAGCAAATCAACCAAACCAACATTGTACTTAGAACTTCTGAAATTTACACAACAGCTGAGCAAGAAGTACAATCATGCCTGCCGAACTTCATATTACCTGCCTGCAAAATAAAGCCTAGCACAACACAGATGTAACTCATCTAACCATTTACATGAAGTTCGATATAGCACTTTAAAAGAGAGAGAGACAAATTCCCAGGCAAGCTGCCAAGCATGTAGATAACTGCTTCTTTCCTCTCAACACTCCACTCCCACATTCCCCATCCAGTCAAAATCAACTGCCAACAGGATTAGAATTGGCTTGAAAATATTTTTTTTTAAAAAATGCATACAGCAATCCAGTAATAATCCACAAAAGAAGTCCAATCAGTGTCCTGAGCAGTTAGAACAATCCAAAGAATGCCGTTTGAAACAACTAAGCTTTGTTTCATGCTTGGGGGAAAAAACCGGCATGTTTTGTTTCAACTTCAAAACCAAACTGTCAAAACTGTGTTTTTGTTTCACACATACAACACTTAAAATAAGTGTTGTAGGGCAGAAATCTTTTGCCCATCCCTAGTTTAGGAGTTGCAGTTAATCGTTCTATCGGATATCAAGCATACATATTCTTTCATTGCTGTGGAGTTTGTGCAGTATAAATTACAGTCACATATTTTTTTTGTTAACGTCTGAGTGCAACAGCTTTAATTATTTTGTTTTTACCTGCTTTGAAGGTAACAGCTAATTTTTACTGTATTTTATTTTTGAAATTTGAATGGGAATGACTTAAATGAATATTCTGCCAAGCATTTTGTTTGACTACTATGTTACTTTCCTTTCCGAAACTAAAGGAAAAATATATAGTATTCTCTCTCCCAAAATTCTATGAGGTAGGTTTGCTTGAGAAACAGGGACTGCCATGTCTCCAAGTGAACTTCCATGGCTGAGGATGAATCTGGACTTTAGCCTGTTTGGTCCTAGTCTAATGTTTTAAAATCATCCCAACTGGGTAAACACCAAATTGTTAGAGGCTCTCTTTACTAACTCATAGTGTTATTATCTGGAAAGATGCAAGACTATTGCTCAGTATTCCAGCAATTCCAGCTTCTGGGTCATAGAGCACTTCACTGGAAACTCAATACTCCTTTTCCCCTTTTCCCATCCATACCTGGGTCTTGCTCATGGGTAGTGCCCATTTTGGTTATGTAAGCAATGATCCCCACTAGCAAATCTTGGAAATTAGGGAAATTATAGTGCAAAAGTAGAATCTTTATGCTGCCGAGTATTGCAGTGTCTTTTATAAGATAAAAGAAAGAACAAATCTGAACTTGACATGCAGTGTAATTGTTTTAGTCAGTGTATTGCTAGCTCAAAAAGTCTGGGCTGGTGTAAACAGATGTAGGTTATTTTTTTACTGTAATTCTGTTAAAGTGGGGTACAATAAGCATACAGTATATTTATAGTAAAGCTAGATCTAGAAGCCTATCCAGTTAAATACATTATATCTTCTTTCATTTGAGAATGCAGGTAATTCTTATCGCAACCTCATTCGTTCTACTATATTGTTCCCCGGGGAACAGTTTTCAAGTTAAACAGAGCGGGCACAAAACATGCATCCAGTCACATCCCACAAAATATCTGTTTTTATCAACACTTTGGATACTTACCAAGAGGCATCTGAGGGGGGAGGTAATGAGGCTCTTGAGCACTAACATGGACCCAGTCAAAATCATCATAGGGATCCTGATGATAATCACAGGGGCCCGGGCCATCTTCAAAGGTGCAACCTCCTAAAAGAAAGAAAAGAAAAAGCAAATTATATAATTAGATGTACATATTTTTTTTAAAAAAAAACACAGCTTTTTGGTCAAACTATAGTTTCCTTCAGTGAGCCTCTGAAGCAGAAAATCGTCATTCGTCATTTCTTGTCAGCAAATTAGGGCAGTCAGCATCTTTTGATGTGGCCTTTCTCTCTTTCACAAATTGCCTCTTCCAGCCTTAGCAAAAGAATAATTCTAGAATCTAGCGAGTGGCTGCTATTACCCAGAAAGGCTATATATGAAGTAATATTGGCATAACAATGCCACAAAGAAGAAGAGGAAATCTTTGATGAAAAACTGGAAGTCGTGAAGCTGCAAATAGTACCAGCAAATTATGGTCTGAATTTGCTAAGCAGACTAGTGTGACTCTCCAGCTTCAGGCTGTGTTATGATAAAGTCAGGATTAGTGTTGATTTTAAAAATAATTATGTTGGACATACCATATTGCGAATACAGGTAGTCTTCGAATTACAACCACAATTGAGCCCAAAAATTTTTGTTGCTAAGTGAGACATTTGTTTAGTGAGTTTTGCCTCATTTCTTGTCATAGTTGTTAAGTGAATCACTGCAGCTGTCATGGTTGCTAAGTGAATCTAGATTCCACATTGACTCTGCTTATGAGAGGGTTGCAAAAAGGGATCCCATGACCACAGGACACTGAAACTGTCATAAATATGAGCCAGTTGCCAAATGTCCAGATTTTGAACATGTGACCATGGGGATTCTGCAATGATCATAAGTGTAAAAAAACAGTCGTAAATCACATTTTTCAGTGCCATTGTAACTTCAAATGGTCATTAAATGAACTGTTGTAAGTTTGAGTACTACCTATATGGAATAGTTACAAACCCATTAAAGGTCTCAGCAAAAGAAGCATTTTATAGACAAGAAATAATAATAGGCAAATGCAAATATTTGAATTCTGTCAAGGGGAATATATAATAAAATCCCAGGTGTCAGGCCTGGAATCGCCGCCCTGCCTCGCTGCGCCCGATCGGAGGAAACACGTACCCTCACCCCCTGGCATCCCGTCCCCACGTTCTGCTCCTGTGCCGCATGGTATCCGCTGGCCCCTCGCCGGTACCCGGCCGTCGGGACGACAGCATCAGGACGTCATCGGGCGACGCCGGGCTGCGGTCTGCCGGGCGAGCGGCTGAACGGGCGAGCTGCTGCACGGGGATGACAGCATCGGGACGTCATCGGGCGGCGCCGAGTTGCGGTCCGCCTGCCAATGCAAGGGGCGAGCAGCCGAACGGGGCCTGAAGGGGCGGGGCCGTTGGGACATCGTCGGGGCGGCAAGCAGCTGAACGGTATCTGCAGGGGGCGGGGGGCCGATGGGCGGCGAGTAGCTAAACAAACGCTGAATGGACGCTGGGCCTGACAATTCCCAGGTGTTTCCACTGGAGGAACTGGCTGACTATGGGGAAGGTATTAGGCGGGGCGGGCCCGGGATGGGCGGGGCGGAGGGGTATAAAGCACGCTGCGGGAAAGCAGTTCCCAGAGTTAACTTTACTTCAACATTGAATAAACGTGTTGTTGGTTCACCGTTCCTGTCTGCTGGCGTTTGATTTGGATACAAGCCAGGACGGTCTAACATTAAGTTAACTCTCACCAAAAACTACCTCTCAACTGGCTGTGGTGTTTCCGGGCGTCCGGTTAGCTCCGAGGGTATGGCAGAGGGAAAGCCAAGTGCGGCATCGGCTGGGGACGCGGCTGAGCCGGTCAGCGAGACAGCTGTTCCACCGGTGAGGGAGGAAACGGAAGCTGTGGTGCGCCCAAAGGAAAGACTACAGCAGCCTGCGGAGGCCGGGGTGGAGACCCCACAGCCAGCGTCTGCTGCTGCGTCAGGGGAGTGGTGGCTGAGCTCTGCCCTACAACAGCCCAAGGCAGGGGAGCAGCGGCCAGTGGTGACTTCGGGACCAGCGTTAAGCGGCTGGAGGGAGCGACGGGTGACAGGAGATGAGGAGGACGAGTGGAGTTATTCCACTGCTCCAGGCCAGTATACCTTGGACGTGCTTCGGGACCAGTTTGGGGAGACGGGTTATCTGGCACCACCCCCCACGAGGCCCAGGGCGGGGGTGGAGCAACCAGCTGAGCCATCTAGGTTCCAGTTGGCCAGCCCAAGGTTCAGGCTCACCCCCTCTATGGTGGAACCGGAGACGGAACTGGGCGGTGGGTCACAGCGCCCTAGACAGGGCCGCCAGGCCGGGGCTCCGGTTACGGACCCATCCAGACAGTCAAGAGGCATATCCAGCCCCACAGGACCCTGGGGGGGGGGTTCAAGAGGGAGGTCGAGCCGCGCCCCCAGCTGGGGACCAGTATGGCAATCCTATTGTGGCGCCTTGGCCTCAGGCGGTGCTGTGGAACCCACCCCCCCTGAACGTGACATTCGACGGGGATCCTGACCGCTTAGCGATTTTCCTGAGCCATGTGCTCAGCCACCTGGACCGTTTTACCACATTATATCCGTCAAACTGGGCGATGGTGGTGGCTGTCACCGCGAACTTACAGGGGGAAGCTGCGGCTTGGGCGGCGGACCTGTATAGTGACCACGCCAGGGAGCTGGCGGACATCGGTCTGTTCCTGGAAGCCCTAAAGACCCGATTTGAAGACCCCTCCAGAGTGCAGCGGGCGGAGGCGGAGGTGTTAGGTTTACGGCAACGGGGCCGGCCAGCTAGGCAATATGTCAGAGACTTCCAGCAAGCGGCGGGAAGACTGCGGTNGTACCGGGCCCTGATCGATACGGGTTGTACCCGTTGCTTGGTCAGCAGGGAGGTGGTGGAGAAGGTGGGGATAAGGGTGACCCGCCTGGAGTCTCCTATCCGTTTCGAACAGGTTGACGGGTCCCTGTTGGGGGGAGTCCCAGCCACATTGGTGACAGAACCGGTACGGATGGACATGGGTAGTCACTGGGAACTCCTCTGGTTTATAGTGGTACCGGCCATGACTGAGGAGGTAATCCTGGGACTAACATGGCTGGACAAATGGACTCCAACCATGTGGTGGGCAGACGGATATCGTCACCTACGCCTGGGGGTCGGGCCCCAGCCACCACGCTTTGATGGGGAACAGCCCAAGCAGAAGGGGGAGGGGTCCAAGACAGCCCCAAAGGCCATAGCGGGATCTGAGGCAGCCCAGAAGGGGAGCGCCCTTGCTTTCCCCGCCGAATACGATGATCTCGCTGCAGTGTTCAGCGAGCGGGAGTGTGACTCTCTGCCACCACATCGCCCCACCGATTGTGCGATTGAGCTCTTGCCCGGTTCTAAACTGCCAAAACCCAGAATGTACCCCATGACACCCCTGGAACTCCGAGAGCTGCGACAGTACATCGACAAAAACCTAGCACGAGGCTTTATACAGCCCGCTCGCTCTCGGATAGCGGCTCCTGTTTTGTTCCAGGAGAAGAAGGATGGGGGTCTCCGACTGTGTGTGGACTTTCGCGGGATCAACGCAGTCTGTGTAGAGCATATGTACCCCCTCCCGCTGATGAAAGATCTCCTAGCACATCTGGCCAAGGGAAAAATATTCACGAAGTTAGATCTTCGTGAAGCGTATTACCAGGTGAGAATAAAACGGGGGGACGAGTGGAAGACGGCCTTCAACTGTCCGTTGGGCAGTTATCAGTTTAGAGTAATGCCCTTTGGGCTACAAGGAGCCCCTGCGGTGTTCATGCAGTTGATAAATGGGGTGTTGCATGAACACTTATACCGCGGGGTGCTCGTCTACCTAGACGACATACTCATCTACTCCCAGACACGGGAGGAACACATCCGCTTGGTGCGGGATGTATTGAGCAAATTACTGCACGCCCAGTTATTCGTGAAGCTGTCCAAGTGCGAGTTTCACCAGACCCGGCTTGACTACCTGGGGTACAGGATTTCGGCAGCAGGTGTGGAAATGGACCCGAATAAGGTGCGGAGTGTGTTGGAGTGGCAAGCGCCAAAAACCCGTAGACAACTACAAAGTTTTCTGGGTTTTGCCAATTTCTACCGGCAATTTATCCCCTCATTCGCATTGGTGGCGCTACCATTGACACACTTGCTGCGAACTCGGCCTGCAACAACAAAGCCTCGGCCTGGGCAACACCTAGCGTGGACAGCAGACTGCCAACGGGCGTTTGAGTCGTTAAAGGCTCTCTTTGCACAGGAGCCCGTTCTGTTACATCCGGATCCGGAATGCCCGTTCGTGGTGCAGGCCGACGCCAGTGATGTGGCAGTAGGCGCGGTGTTACTCCAAAGGAACGCCCAAGGCAAACTACAGCCATGTGCTTATACCTCCCGAAAACTTACCGACACCGAGAGGGCGTGGGCTATTTGGGAGAAGGAGGCATTTGCGGTGCGGTGGGCGTTGACGACCTGGCGTCATTTGTTGGAGGGGGCTACCCATCCTTTTGAAGTGTGGACGGACCACAAAAACCTGGAGGTGTTCC